GTCATTCAAACTTGGTACATAGATTATACATTTATTTCACAATTGGATCAAAGATGGTCGACTGGCAGGCATCTTGTTTTTGTTTTTTATGCGGTATCTTGGACGTGCTCTGTCAATTTTCATTCAAATTTGGCACATACATGTACTTTATACATGTTAGGATGCATGTCCATGACAATTTGTTTCAAAATCTGGTCAAGGATAGCCGATTGACAGCCATCTGACTTTTTGGCCTTACTACTATATTTCCACAATTTATGTACCATTTTCATTCGTATTTGGCACATCATACATATCAGTGTGTTTCATAATCAGATCAAAGATGGCCGAATAACGGCTGTTTTTATTTTGGCCATATTACTATGACACGAAACACGTGTTTTGATGTAAATAAACAATCTGTTGTATACGCCACTTGGAACTCAAGTTTCAAGGACACACTCGCGACAACCCCTCCGCTTTAATATGATGAGCACAAAGAGAACTTAACGGGGACTGTGTCATTTTCAATGACTTGTTCATTTGCTGATTTCTATTCTGAAAAATTTGACCGTCCGAAAATGCACTTTAATTTTGACTCTAAAAACACGTCACATTTCTAACACCAATTATTTAAAACCGGTCGAAATTTTGGAGTTTTTATGGTATTCATCTTTGGCTAAACATGCACATCAGAGTGCAACCACTACATTTCAACACATTTGGATCAAAGATGTGATAACATTGTGGCCTTCAAAACATTCGCATGCAATTATTAAAACAAAGTCGCAAGGTTTCAATAGTTGTGCTATGTTTTATTTTATAGGTGCTGTTGACGAGAGGGGTCACATGCCATTTTATGCTGAAGAATGTGCCTCAATGCTGGCAGTTACGTTTAGCAGCGGCCAAAGTCCACAGAGAAGTATTGTAAGTTTGTCAACAAATTAATTTCACATCATATACTGTACTCGACCGTAAAGCGCCCACCCCCCACTTTTGCGCAATTTTTATATTCGGGGTCACATTCGGCAAAGCGCCCACCCCTTAAAAATGCCACTTATTTGAAACTTGGTCTTTGATCATTGCTTAATGAGTACTGGTAATTGTTAGCGCCCACCCCTAAAAGATCATGGTTTTCTGAGTTGAGGACGCGGTTGAGTACGTTACATTTACCCCCACCTCCCCCTACTTGTAAGTAGGATATTTGACGAAAAAACATTATAATATAAGAACATCGCTAAAACTACTGACTGGCAATATAAATGCTACTACTGGTACGTGCTAATATTAAAAATAATAAATTGTTATTTTAAAACATGGCTGAGTTCATCGCCCGCTCACAAGAATTCACATCTGCATTTGAATAGTCATTGATACATACATCTATAAGTGGAAGGTAACATGATAATACTGGAACTTGGTTGGAGCTGAGTACTATGGCGAGACTTGAAAGGAAATAATCTCTATTAAAATTCTATGTTTATAACACCCTTTGACCCTTTCCCTCAAACAAAATGTTTTTTTTGGCGAACTTTGATGATTTACAAACACTAAACAGGTAACAATTAGCCAAACGTCATACATTCTTGCACTTTCTGAGGGAAAAAAAATCACTTGAAACTCAAACCCAAATTCTAAACTAATGTTAAATTATTGACATAACACCATATAAAAGTTATACAGCAATATGGTACATCACTAAATACAACTATCAACAACACTAAAAATAGTTTGCAAAAGCTATTATATTATTATAAGCTTAGTGTCTGAATTAAGGATAAATAACTGGATAAATATATAAATGTAAAATGAGCATTCTTAATCAAACTCTGGAAAGGTAATTTTGTGAAATGTTGTTTATATGCCTAAATCTTTGCATTTGAGCAATTCATTATGTTTATATTCAACACATATGAAAACAGTTTTATTGTATAAAAAGGACATAACACAAGAAGATACGTGTCCTATACCAGTGCCGTGCCGTGCCGTGCCGTGCCGTGCCGTGCCGTGCCGTGCCGTGCCGTGCCATGTCATGCCGTGCCGTGCCGTGCCGTGCCGTGCCGTGCCGTGCCGTGCCGTGCCATGTCATGCCGTGCCGTGCCGTGCCGTGCCGTGCCGTGCCGTGCCGTGCCATGTCGTGCCGTGCCGTGCCATGTCATGCCGTGCCGTGCCGTGCCGTGCCATGTCATGCCGTGCCGTGCCGTGCCGTGCCGTGCCGTGCCGTGCCGTGCCGTGCCGTGCCGTGCCGTGCCGTGCCGTGCCATGTCATGCCGTGCCATGTCATGTCGCACCATGTCGCACGATCTGTTTAATACAAGTCCAATGCGATGTATGTAAAATGCATAGTTTATTATGCTTGTTTACACAACATCAATCAACTGTGTGAATCTTAATGACATGTTAATATGCTATTCAATTTATTATGTTATTATGGCAGGTCACAACTGATTGGACATTGGATGGAGGTACGGGCTGTACCATGTCACACACAGGGACCTCAGCTGCTGCCCCTCTCGCTGCTGGACTTGTTGCCCTAATGTTAGAAGCTAGACCATGTCTTACTTGGAGAGATGTACAACACATTATAGTGATGACATCAACCCTGGTGAGTTGACCACCCCTACTCTCTATAATAGTTTGAACCAAATCATTGACACTGACATTGAGTATGACACCTAATTCACCCTTGGTATTCAGCCCTGGCCCGTCCGTTCTCTAGTGGAACATTCCATATAACAATTGAATTGGCACATTTCATTATAATTACAGGTGGATGAAGGGAATTCAGTGTGGTTTGTCAATAAGGCAGGTTTTCATCACAGTCATCAGCATGGTTTTGGATTATTGAATGGTTGGAGGATGGTAAATGCAGCGAAAGTCTGGCAGAATGTGCCGTGGATGACTTCATTTGCGACACCAACTATAACAGAGGAACAAAGTATTTCAGCTCAAACCAGTTCTCTGTTAGTCAGCCATGAAGGTGAGAATGTTCCCAATTTATGAATAATTTTACTCTTTGAATACTAGAATAATTCCTCCCCCACCCAAAAAAAACATGATCAAGACTTATTACATCAAGGTAATTACATCAATTTAGGGAGAGATTATTAAAGAAATTATTCAAAAATACCCAAATTTGTGCATATTGTGAAAAATATAGCATTGTGCACATTTCATTTCTTGTCAGCACATCCAAATTCTAATGATTGTTGTGGTTTTGCATTTGTTTGTGGGTTCATATTTATTAACACATGAATTCACAGATTTCCTTCTGTTCTAAATTACTGTGGGCTTAAAGCAGGGGAGTTATCCACCTGCGCATGCCTCAGATGGCCATATCGTGTCATTGTTTACAAACAAGCGTCTACCCATGAGCCTTTGCGTTCCTAATGTGTGTTGTTATCATCGCTTAGGACTCATTTCCCGCATATGCGCAGGTGACAACCCTCCCGCTTTAAGTAATTTTAATCATGGTCAATTCATGGTTTTTTTTCCAGAAATGAATGCAAATTCAGACCTTCAAATATTTCAGATTATAATCCCAAAATCTAAAGAAATCTTTATGAATCAACACAGAATGCAAATTTTAATTCCCATTATATATGTCCCCTATAGGTCACACATCCTGGTACTTTCATGGTACACTGAAAATTTTATTGTTTCTGAATATGTACCCTGTCATCATTAAAGTAGAAAAACAGAAAGTACCAGGATGTATGAACTTTAAGGGTCATACTGAGATTTTGACTTTGGTTTGTTTGTTTGCAGTTGCTAATAATGACGTAGAAGAGATTGAGTTGTATACATTGGAACACGTTCAGGTGATTGTGTCGCTATCGCACGCACAGCGCGGTGATTTAGAAATACGTCTTATCTGTCCAAGCGGTACTACTTCTGTTATAGCATCGAAGAGGAAAAAAGACACGTATGTTTATTTATATTGTGACCTGAATTCTCAATACATCAAATATAAACGTTACATTGCATCTTGCTTTATTCCGGTCAAACCATTTATATATAAAGTAATTCATATTTAGCTTGATGATTTTGACTCAACAGAATTAATATCTCAGCTCTTATTATGACAGACTGTTATTTTATAACTTTCCAGTAATGTTATTTAATTAAATTGCAAGTGCAAGTACTGACATACATAGCATTTTGTAACTGCATTCATATTCTATGTTTGAGGCAGTGATCATGTGACTGGGCTGTGTGATCATGTGACTGGGCTGTGTGATCATGTGACTGGGCTTTATGATCATGTGACAGGGCTTTATGATCATGTGACTGGGCTGTGTGATCATGTTATTCAATTAAATGGAATCCAATTTGCAACAATAAAATCTCTGAGTAACAGTCTAGTTTTTGAAGAAATAGCAAGAATTTACATAGCCACATGTGTTGTCATATAAAATGGACGAACTGAGCCAACCTGAAATTGCGCCCTCTATCTGTGTATAGCATGTAGCAGCGCATACCTGCCATGAATATATTTTATTGGCATTGATGGCAGGATTTGTTTAGTTATTTCTCACTGTTATATTAGCATAATTCAATAGTCACAGTTACACACCTTTTTAACCTAATGGTACTGTTCTATCTTAACTGAAGATGTTTCTTTTCTTTCTCATCATACAGCTCTGTAGCAGGATTTGTTGACTGGCCATTTTCTACTGTTCGATGTTGGGGTGAACGACCTGCTGGTATCTGGCAGCTTAAAGTGATTGATCATGGTATTGTAAAATTGTTTCTACTAATAATTAATAATAATACTAGTAGTGAGGTATAACGGTTTACCTCAAATGGTCATTTGCATATTACTCTTTCAAGTTCCACTAATTGTGGTACACTATTCATTGGAAACTGAACTTCTACAGTTCACCTATGACCTCAATTCATTATTTGCATATAACGTTTCCAGGTTCAACTAATAGTGGGATACTTCATCATTGGAAACTCAACTTATATGGTTCGCCTATGACCTCAAATGACCTCAGACTAAGAAGATAGTAAGTGCACATTTCTAATAAACTTTTTCAGTTGCTGTTTAAATCTTTTGGTTCATGCATCCATTTCTCTTTTATTAGCTCCGCTGTTGACTTTGTCGAGCGGAGCTTATCATATGAGTGATTGTCCGTCGTCGTCCGTGTCAATGTTTTACTTTTTCGACTTCTTCTTGAAAACTACAAGCCTGAATGCTTTGATACTTGGTGTATATGTACCTTGGGTAGACCTCTCTTAGGTTTGTTCATTTCATGTTGATATCTTCAATTCTCTAATTTTGGTGAATATTTTTGTCATTTTTGGTAAAAAGTGATATTTTCGACTTCTTGTTAAAAACCGCAAGTGCAAATGCTTTGATATTACATATATAGGTACTACATGTGGACCTCTCTCAGATTTGTTCATTTTGTAATGATATCTTTAATTCTCTAATTTTGGTGAATATTTTTGTCATTTTTGGTCAAAAGTGATATTTTCGACTTCTTGTTAAAAACCGCAAGTCCAATTGCTTTGATACTACATATATAGGTACTACATGTGGACCTCTCTCAGATTTGTTCATTTTGTGATGATATCTTCAATTCTCTATTTTTAGCTCCGCTGTCGACTTTGTCGAGCGGAGCTTATCATATGAGTGATTGTCCGTCGTCGTCCGTCGTCCGTCGTCCGTGTCAATGTTTTACTTTTTCGACTTCTTCTTGAAAACTACAAGCCTGAATGCTTTGATACTTGGTGTATA